GCCAAATCCCTAAAATATGGTATGAGAATTTCTCAAATTAAATCAATCTGTTTTATTACGGTTGTCAATTCCGTCAAAAACTTTTATTGATTTTATGAATGTACTGTTTCAAACCATGATCTATGCAATCGTACTGGTACCCCATTGTATTTTGATAAATTATTCCACTTATCATTATCACTATTCCTTGTATATAAATCTAATACAAATTTATAAGGCATGGGAATCTATAAAAAATCCCTAATAAATATTATCTTTTATTCACCATAAAATCATTGAATCATTATAAGTTGTATGCTATGTAAGCATCAATTTGGTTAGAATGAGAGAGTGTTTTGAGAGTTTATTTTATTCTCTCTCTCTCTATATATATAATTTATGGTTGGTTTGATTTCTAAAATTCAGAAAACTGAACCAAACCGTTTTAAGTCAAAAACCAAACCGAACTGCAAATTATGGTTTGGTATGGTTTAGTTTGGCGGTTTGAACTATAAAAGAACATCCTTACTCATAGCCCCCAACTTGGTGGCAATGGGATGTGATCCTAAGTCTCTCCACTGCTACAATGAGTTAGAGACCCTACCAATTGAGCCACCATCAAATGGTTCTGCTGTCTATCCTACTAACCAAATTAAATAATACCATTATCTTCAGTCGTTGTCACAATGGGGCCCATGGTAATTTTTTTTGGAAAGTATTGGTTACCTAGGTAATCCTTTGCCAAACCAAATGTTGTATTTGTGATTACATGAATAACATTTCCTCAAGTATCACTTACCCGGGGAAATGCATTACTTGGGTAATGCAAAACGAAGGAGGCCTTAAAGGAAGGTGTTATCTGTTAGATAAGAGCTATTAGGGATGCAACTTGAGCCACCATCAGTTGGTTATGATAAAGGCTATTAGGGATGCAACTTAGGCAAGTTGGGTTGGGTTGAACCAGGACCAACTAAGTTGTAAGCCTAGAGCTCGACCTGGCCCAACCCGGGGTCAAACACGAATTTACCAACCAGGCAGAACCCAAACTTAATCCACATAAATCTGGCTGCACTGAAGCTTCTGTTGGGCCGGGCCATGCTCAGTGGGGTTTGGTAAAGTCTGAAAGAATTAATTTATAAATGTATTTTTGCACGGTCATCTTTTTTGGGCTTTATGGCCCAACTTAGGTGTATAATTAATTGAAAAATATGTATAAAATTTTATTTGCAAATGTGTGTATATATATAATTAAAAATGCATTTTATATAAATGAAGTGCATGTATGACTATATTTGTTCAGGCAGGCTCAATTTAGATTGGGCTAGGATTTTGCTACTCAAAGGCTTCAAACCCATACGAACAATTCAAGTCGGATCAGGTTGATCCACCCAAGTTGCATCCTTTAAGGGCTATAGCCCAGGCCTGGGCCGGGCTAGGCTGAACACAAAACCCAAGCCCAAGCCTTCATCTCATTTACATTTACCGATAACGTAAATTTTGCATCTCAAAAATTGATACAAACTTTGCACCACATTCCTCCTACCTTAATTCCCTCTCTATGACTACAACATGGGAAAGTAGGGGTGGGTTGAAGTTCTAGTTCAGTTTAGGGTTGAAAAGTACGATACTGACTCAACTTTGACTTAACTTTGTATTTGAATATATCTTTACATTTATGTATATATATATATATTGAATGCCAACAATTCACTATGCTATCGTGAGTACTCTTGTAACATTTGAAATATTTTGTTTTTTATTAACTTTGTTATAATCCACTAATCACCATTCACCGACCACCTTTTTGGGTAAATATTCTCTTTTTACATTGTTTTTATGGGGAAGCTCTATGTGATGCTATTATACGGTATTATTAATATCGTGTTTTCATTATACGGTATTATTAATGTATTTTTTTCTGTTTCTAATAATATTTAGTAGACCAAGATAGACTAATATACTTACCAAAAGATCAAGATCTTTATAGACAAGACGCTAAAATCTTTACATCTTTTAGCCATAGACTTGCCAAATGGCATCTGTATTGTCCAGACTATAGAACCCCAATCGCCTTCTAGATTAAGTCAAATTATGTCATGTAATAAGATGAGATAGGACTCTCTTTTAGTTTACTTGTTTGTGTAAATCATTTCTGATGTATTATAAATATCACAATGAATGCTCAGACCACTATTTTCTCTCAACATTGCTTTTATTTTCCTTCTTGCCTTAAAATCATTTTATGGTATCAGAGATATTATTAATGGCATCTTCACCTTCTAGCACCACATCCATCCCTCTCCTCTCATCGATCTATAGTTCTTGGTTCTTGTTCTTCTTCTTGCTTATATGATTATGCCTACTACTAACTGTTCAATAAATCTCTTAAACTCAATCATGATGGTTGCAGATTGGGCAATCCTATCTCTTTGGGGGTACCAATGCATGAGTCTCCCGCCCAAGATTTTAAAAATTGGACCGGACACGGAACCTTTGTGGGGACCCGTTCTTGGGTCGAACGGACAGCCCATTCTGATATCAAAAATAAAATATTAAAAAATAGTTAAAATCAGTAAAGACCAAAATCTGTTGTCTGGGTTGATGGTTCAGCCGCCCAAATCAACGAGTTGCTGACCAAATGAATGGGTAGTTTTAGGGTGAAACAGATTTGGTTACCTGACCAGTTCGTGGGTCAATTGGTCTGACCATCCGGTCCAGTTCCAGTTTTCAAAACCATGCTCCCACCTATGCAGGGTCTAGGGAAGTAGGGAGAGACAGATGTATATATGCACCCTTACCCCTGCATATACAGTCACCCCTAGGGATGTCAGTTGGACAGGATTTGGTCCAATCCAATCTAATCGAATGTGAGACCATTATAAATGGACTACGTCCAATCCATTCCAATGAATATTTTGGACCATTTTGGATCGGTCCAATTTAATGTCTGGACTGTCCATTCTGTTCAAATCTGTTTTGATTTTGATTGGTTTCAATCCAAACCCGGTCCATTGACACCTATATTCTTATCTTATATCAATGGACCAGATATTGACTTAATCCAACCCAATATAAATTTGTTACAGATAGACCAAATCCAGTCCAATCTAATAAATATTTTGGACCAGATTGGTCCAAACCAATATGTCTTATTGGTCCATCCAAATTGATTTTGGTCTGGACGGGGTCCAAATCCAAAACCAGTCCATTGACACCCTTAGTCTCCCCCTAATGGGGCTAGGGGGAATTATTAAAAATCTTTGAGGTTCTTTTATTGCAATTTATTTGATCCGCTTTGAATAGGAGATTCCATAAATGCAAAGATGCAAGCAGTCCTTTACAGTCTATAAATTTTCAAGATCCTTACCATGCTTGATATAGAGTTGAAGGGGGCCATAAGGTAGTGATAAACTGGCTGAAGAACAATTCAAAACCAATATGGAAGAAAAGATACACCTTAAAGAAAAGCTTAGTATATGTTTGGCACCAATGCTGAAGATACAGTGTTGATGCGTGGGTTGGAAGTACCATTTTCTGAGAAAATGGTGCCTTTTTTTTGTTTAGAATCGTTGCTGCCAGGTAGAGCATTTCCTGGAGCAATAGCAACTATTTCTGTTTGGTACCAATGTTCCAGGAAATGTTTTCAGCACTGGTACCCATTATTCAGTGCCACATCACTGTCACCTCACATCCCTGTTGGCAGCAACGAGCCGCAGATCCAGGAAACGTCAAATTCGGCGTTGCTCCAAATCATGCCTTCCAGATTTTCAAAGAACGGCTTGGAGCACATTTTTTTTATGAAAAAAACAGTTCCAAACAAATACCCATTTCCTGGAACACCATTTTTTCTGACATGGCGCTGATGTAGCACCATTTTCTGGAGCAACGGCAGCGATGCCAAACAGACGCTTAATCTCTAACAAGATTGGGAGTGTTGGTTTTAGACACTTGAAGGCAGAGAATAGTGTTGCTGACCAGTTGGCTAGAAGATAGAGTAGTAGGAAAAGTTTGTGTGTGTGTTTTTTTTTCTTTGGGGGGGTACTCTCATTGACTGGATTTCCTACTAACTAAATTCTAGTGTTTACCCTACACACAACAAACTCCGGCAACACAGTACGTTCCGGTGAACGAGTAAAGAGCAAAGAGGAAGGAAGGAATTAGAGTAATTTTTGTGCAAAAAAAAAGAGAAGTTAGGGAGGTGTTTGGGATCGACGATGATTCTTATGATGAGATTTCTCAAAAATTGTTCAATTATCAAAAAAAAAAAAATAGAGAAATTGTTTGTTTGGTACCGTTGTTGCCATGCAGCCCATGATTTTGTTTGGTAGTGGTTATTAGCATTTATTTTTCTTTTATGAGAACTTTCTCCCCCTATCCACATCAGATGCCACATCATCGAAAAAATAAGAATTGGCCTAAAAAGAGGAATCTTCAAAAAAGGCGATTACTCTTTGCAGCCTGATTTTAATAATTGGTTTTGACCAATTTGTCAATTTCTCAAAAATCTGCCAATCAAACAAACAACAATATAATCAACTATTTTTGAATCTTTGATGTGGCTCTGATGTAGTGCCAATTTTTGAGAAATCTGCATCAATCCAAACACCACCTACATATTTTTTAGAAAAAAAGTCTGACAGATAACACCACCTCCTCTCTATATATAGGGCATTTTGTATATAAAAATACATTCAATACATATATTATATGTTATATAATATAAATATTTTATATATTTAACATTTTAATGTTGTGTTTCAGGCCTGCGGTCTGGGTCGTATTGCTCCCAGGCCCAGGCCAGGCTAGAGCCATTAATCCGGCCCAGTCCATGATTACCCTGCCGGCCGGGTTCAACATTGTTTAATAGTGTAAATCTGTAATGGGCCTATTGTAAGCTGGATTGTCTGTTTTACAGATTCTGGTTAGTACAAGAGAATTCGGGAATTTTGACCTTAAAAGCCAAAAGGAGGATCAGAAGCATCCAAAATTACAAACCAGAAAAAACCAGAACTTTCAAGAAAGAAACTCTCTCTCCATTGTCCAACTACAAATAATATACCAGCTTCACCAACTCCTAAAACATCCAAGAAAACAATCAAAAGATTTCTCGCTCCCCCTCAGTCTCATCATAACTTGTTGTCTCGTTTTGCTCTCAATCCACATCTTAGTTCGTATCATCAGAAACAGCTAGCAGCGCAGTAGGAAAATGTCGGTTTTCCTTTCTTTCCTGGATCGGCGGTTCAACATATTTGATCTTGATCCCCTCCAGGCCTTCTTCTGGGGAACAACCGGAACGTCGGAATTGGCCAACACCCAGATCGATTGGAAGGAAACCCCACATGCCCACGTCTTCGAAATCGATCTTCCGGGTCTTACCAAAGATGATGTTAAGCTGGAAGTTCATGAAGGAAGGGTCCTTCAGATCAGTGTGGAGAGGAAAGAGGAACCAGCAGAGACTAGAGAGGAGAAAGGTGAACAGTGGCATTGCCTGGAGAGGACGCGTGGGAAGTTTATGAGGCAATTCCGGCTGCCGGAGAATGCCAAGGTTGACGACATAAAGGCTACCATGGCAAATGGAGTGCTCACTGTCACAGTGCCTAAAGAAGCAGAAACTAAGAAGCAGCCCAAACACAAACTCGTAGAGATTTCTGGTGGTGATGGACGCCCCTCCAACTCCAAGGGACTTGGCCGTTTTGTTTGTTGCGTAGCTTAATTGATATGGTGCAACACTCTCCAATCTCCATGCCATCCATAGTCTATATACATATATATAACTTTTCTGTGTGTTCTTTTCTTGGAATTCTTATTGTTGTCTCGGATCTTTGTTGTGTATTAATCTGTATATATGTTTGCTTCTTTTTTAAAGCCCTGTATCATGTTTGCTTTCAATTTTATTGTGTATTGTATATAAAAAATGGTCGGATTATGTAACAAAAGCTTCAAAAGATTGAAAAAAAAACAGGGGAGAAATGGTGATGGACAATAGTTACGTTGATGCCAAGACTGAGCAAGCTAGAGTAAAGAAGTAGCACAAAAATGGAGTTGATGATGAGCTTGTTATGAAATCATGCCCATCCATACTGGATGCCCTTTTGATTCTTGGAGCCGATCGAGTACTTCTATGAGGCACTTGGAGTCTACGTTAAGATAATATAAATTGTTGCTACCTTTTTTCTCACCATTTGATGATTTGATAGCATGAAATCAAGCCAGGAAATGGAGTACGTCCAGCTGCTTACTCAATCAGGAACTCTTTGGGGTTTCTTATCTGTTGGTGGGCCTTTCTTGGTAATTGATGTAACCGCTTTCGGCCATGTATCAATTTTTTTGTGATGCATCAATTTTTTGGCTAAGTATCTCGTCATTTGACCTGCTCCCAGGTGGCCTGTGACTCAGAGGATGGTGGAGTTCCCTAGTGGCGAACTGCCTGGTGGTGAGCTACCTTGATGAACTACTGGGTGCGCTGCCTTGGTGGCAAGCTTCCTAGCGTAGTGTAACCCGACTGCCCTCTACATGAGATGATCTGCCCCTCTTTGTAGACGGCGGGAGCTGAGGAACCTGCGAGAACTGAATCAGAGGACCCGGGGGTGTTTACCCGGCGGGGCCACTCCGATGGCTAAGTTAGCACTCTGATAGTAGAGAGCTTGAAGATGATATTAGAGAAATGAGAGAGGTAGAGAGCAGGGGTTACCTCCATTTTTCCTCCTCTTCCCCTTTGGGGGGTCGGAGCTCTTATATAACGGTGTTCTGACAGATCTGGCGTATCCGCCTCTGATTCTCTGCCGCAGCCGTTACTTGCCAGGGCTGAGCTGGTGGGCGTAGGTAACCGTTGCAGAGTATGGCCCTGCCAGACAAGGGACACGTCTCAGGGCTGGCAGGCACGATGAAAGACGTGAGCGCAAGTCTCCAGATTTGGAAGGTACGGTTGTCAGGTAGGAAATCTTCCTGCGATACGCCGAGCCGCTCTACAACGAGCTACCTTGCACCGAGCTACTTTTCACCGAGCTGCTTTTCACCGGGCTGCCAGTAATGTGCCAAGGTGCTTCTCCCCGAGGTAGGTCTTCGTGGCCTAATAGGAGGCGAGCTGCCTGTAAGTGGCGAGCTACCTGTGGCGAGCTGCCTATGCCGAGTTGCCTGTAAGTGGTGAGCTGCTTATGCCGAGCTACCTGTAAGTGGCGAGCTGCTTATTCCGAGCTACCTGTAAGTGGCGAGCTGCCTGTAGGTGACGAGCTGCCTGTAGCTAGCTCGAGCTGTCTAGTTGTCAAGAGGCTGCACTTAGTTGGCATGAGATGCCAGGTGTCATAATTTCACTGGAGGGCCAAATCCGCCCTCATCAGTAATGTAGGTGGGAGCTGGGGATACAGCTGGTTAGTTCACAACTAAACCCAGAAAACCAATATGGGATTCCACTCAGTAAAGAAGAAACTTATTTTGGTAGAGAGAATGACTAAATTAATTAAGTTCATTACAAGATTGATGCATAACTAAGGTCTAATTAAATCTTGGTTGGCCATATTTTGGATCCACCCAGGTGAACCATTGACAAACAATTCAGACTCTTTTAGACCTTTTTTAGCCAACACATGGGCTAAATTGTTACAGGATCTGTTTACATGTACAAAAGAAACTGACAAGTCTTCAGTAAGCAAAATAATATTCATGCACAAGAAGTTTGCATCCATAGTTTCTAGAGTTTAAAGCCCGCACCAGAGCCAAGCAATGAAATTCCACTATTAGAGCTTCTTCCTTAAACATGCATGTTCAAGACCACCGAACTGTTGAGTCATTGCTTTAGCTTGGATGGGGGGAGAAGCTGAGGATTTACCAAAAATTGATTCTACCACAGTTCCATCAAACGTTTTTAGCACAGCTCCAAAACCTGAGCGTCTTGGACACAAAAAGTTGCCGTCAACGTTAAGCTTTAAAAGACCTGCATCTGGGGCTTCCCAAAAAAGACAAGGCAATTGCCTAGGGCTTCGATGCTGAAGAGAAATTCTCTCTCCTATCCTGTATGTCACAGCAAGAGTAGCCCTTGGGTTTGGATCAGAATTTTCAAAAACCTTTAGGTTTCTAGACTTCCAAATATTCCAAATTAATAAGAAAGAGAAAGTAATCAAGTCTTCTCTTTTCACAATCTTTCATGCAAAGATCAAGCCACATAGAAATCCAATACTTAAATGAAACAAAATTGCATCCTCTTGCAATCGCAATATTGAGATGACAACCAAACCATGTTGCTTGGGAATGTTCACACTCAAATAGACAATGCATAGTAGTCTTAGTTTGTTGGTGGCAAATGGGGCACACATTATCAATAGAGAGTTTCCTTTTACAAAGATTATCTTTGACTGCAACAACATTTAAGCAACACTTCCAAATGAAGCTTTCTATCTTTAGGGTTAGTTTTTGCTATCTAGATTTCAACCCATTGGGTTTTCCTCAAGCCCCCCGCAATACCATTGTTCACAATAATATTATTGGCTTCACTGTCATTGGAGCTTATTTGCAAAGTATCCAGATGTCACAGTGTATTGTCCACTTGAGTGAAAGGTCCATCTAAGCTTATCATCCCAAGTCCCCCAAGCCAAGTTTATGCTTAGGATATTTTTTGCTATTGTCACCCCAAAATTTTCCTCAACTAATCTACCATTCCATTTTCTCCCATTTTCATCCATGAGATCTTTTACCCAGATTAGTCTTGGAGAATTTGGCCTAGGACCAATTATTCTAAAGGACTCTATTTGTTGCAACCATGGGTCCTCCCAAATCTTGACTTTAGTTTCAGAGTTTACCGCCCAACAAGCCCCTTTTTGGAGGATTTCTCTTGCTGCTAAGAGACTCTGCCAGCCCCAAGACAAAATCTATGGAACCATTTTGAGAGGGAGACCCAACACAAAGTCTATGGAACCATTTTGGCCGCCACTGGTTCCTGGGTCAAATAGTCCGATAGTTCGGTTCAAACTTGGGTTTGACGATTTTAGTCTTTTGGAGTTCAAACCTAGACCTAGACCTATGAGGCTATGACTGGTTCTAAGTCAACTATTCTGGTCCAGTTTTCAAAATTATGTTTTGACCCTTAGTTGTACATGCATAAGGGGTGGATTTGAGCTGAGCTAAGCCGAATATTTGGCTATTCAAGCTCGGCTCGGTCATAACTTATTAGGCTCATTCTCGAGCTCAATTTGAACTAGAGACTTGAGCTCGAGCTCGGCTCAAGTCAAAAGCTCAAAAGTTTGAGCTCAGCTGTCTCTGATTGCAGGTCTCCCTATCAGTCGAGGTCTCCCTCAATTGCCGAGGTGCCAAGCCGAGGTCTCCATTAGCTGATGAGGTGTCGAGCCGAGGTGCCGAGCCGAGGTCTCCCTCAGTTGCCGAGGTGCCGAGCCCAGGTCTCCTTCAACTGTCGAGGTGCCAAACCGAGGTCTCCTTTAGTAGCTGAGCCGAGGTGACACCCTATGTACATATACTCGACTAGGCTTGTAAGCCTCACGAGCCGATCTGTATTAAGCTCAAACTCGGCTCGATTAACAAATGAGCCCATATATTAAGCTCGAATTAGGCTCAAATCTCGATTTAGACCGAGCCGAATTGAGCTTTTCACGAGCCGAACTCCAACAGCTTGTGAATAGCTCGACTCGTGGCCACCCCTGCATAACACTTCCTCACAAAAATTGCCTACATGTGTCATGCTTCAGTTGTGGCCAATAATGGCGATCCCCAACCCCAAGGAAGGCAAAAGGTAATGACCTCTTATCTCTTCCCTGATGCCGCCAATTTAGGCGAACTCACATCCTTTGCATCCACAAATGACAAAATTCCACGTTGCTCCCCTTATTAATTACAAGTTAACGGAGTCTATTGACTCTTACGGGAGTTTAGAACTCTAAAAGCTTTTAAATTTTTAATCTCGCCTTTATTCCCTCCTACATTGTTTACTTTCCCTGTTTCTCTTTCTCCTTCAAGTCTTCAACCCAACACTCATCGCCTAAGTCGCTGCTACCACAACTGTGGCTGGGTTGAAGACCACCAACATCTCTCTCTCTCTCTCCCTTCTTTATTCTTCTCTTAGTCCCTTGCTCCTCTCTCTTCCCCTTCTCCATTCTCCTTCAACCATGGCCATCACAACCCAAATCATTACAACACTGTTGTTTCTCTCAATGTTCTCTTTCCCCTTCTTTATTATTCTCACTCTTTCTCCTTTCTCCCTCCTCCATTCTCCTTCAACTATCACAGTTACCTCCCTAACATTCACAAAAACAAACCATCCTCCACTGGCCAAAAGGACAAAAAAAATAAAAAAAAATGCTATGTTGATTTTAAAATCTATTCTTTTGTGATTATATTTCAAATTCAGCAAGGGGTGAGAGTTTCATTTTTCAGAAAAATTGCCCTTTCAGAGAAACTTGGAAAGAAATTGTCTGTGATAATTTCAAACTGGAGTAAAAAGTTCATAAAATTTTGGCTGGCCTAATGCTTGTTCCAACGCAAAGCCTCTTCAAATTTAGGATCAATAGAAGAAAAAAAGCAAGCCAAAATTCTAATTCGTCATATACTGACATAAGAAAACAGAACCAATCAGAAAACATAAAAAAAAAATCTCATACTGTTTCAACCCAAACTACAAATGAAAAAAAAAACGGAGAATAAAAGGGAGATGGGTAGACATAAAATTCTAATTTTTTTTCTTATTTTCCCTCTTGTTATGTCTTAAGACAAGAATGATGAAAAATATAAACTCAATAAAGGATGTGTGGTTAATCACTTAGTCCTAACCAAATAAAAATAGAAGCAAAGAAAGATGGATTCTTGGTAATTAAGATTTCACTTTAGTGGCAAATTGGCAATGGGGAGTGATGTTGTTCGATCCGAGGTGTTTTGAATCAAGATCACTGTCAGATAGTTTTGTCAACTGGTGAAGACGAGGTGGAAAGAC